TACCAATATTAACTTTTAACCCTTTCTTTTCAATAACACTTTTCCATCTGTCAAATTTTAACTGCAATTCTTCCATGCTATCAGCCATCAAGACTAAATCATCTGCATACAAAATCTCAAATAACAACCCCTCCATTATGTTTCCACACACAACATCCATCACAATTGCAAACAGAAACGGTGATAACACTGATCCTTGATGCACTCCTACCTTAACACTAAAAGCGTCCGACATCCCCCTTCCAACCCTCACCTTTGTCTTTGCTCCTTCATACAGCTGCATCACAACTTTAACAAGTCTCTCATTCACTCCTTTCTTCCTCAACGCCCATTCAATGACCTTCCTCGGTACTCGATCAAAAGCCTTTTCTAGATCCACAAAACACAAGTACAATCTTCGTTTCTTCTTTCTATAATTCTCCTGCAACATTCTCACCATGAACAACGCATCCACCGTTCCCCTACCAGGCATAAACCCACACTGCATTTCATTAACTGTCACCATACTTCTCAACCTCCTCTCAAGCACCCTCTCCACTACCTTCATTCCGTGCTCTAGTAATTTCACACCCCTGTATGACCCACAATCTCTCACATCTCCTTTGCCCTTATACAGCGGCACCAACACACTGTGTCGCCAATCCTCAGGTATACCTTCATCATCAAACATACTGTTAGCAATTCTCATCATAACTTCACTTCCTATCACCCCACTCGCTTTTATATGTTCTGCCGCCACTTCCGAAACCCCTGTAGCCTTACCTAGTTTCATTTCTCTAACTGCTTTCTCTACTTCCTCCATTGTCACCTTCTCTATAGGTCCGTGTGTGACCGCGGATTCCACATCTCCATCCCACTCATTCTCTTCATTTATCAACCTTTCCATATGAGCTTTCCACACCTGAGCTTTTTCCTCCTCATCTATGCACAACTTGCCAGATCCATCCCAAACACATCCATTCTCTATAACATCTTTCCTATCCCTCATTGACTGCTTTGCTACTTTGAACATTTTTCTCGAACTCACATCGCATTCCATTTCCTTCATTAACCTATCTGATGCTTTCGTCATTGCAGTTGCCACTGCCTGTTTTGCAACCTTCTTAGCCTTCCTATACTCAGACCCCGCTTCCTCTGTCATGTCCCTTCTCCATACCCTAAACCTCTCCTTCTTGACTTCCAAAACCCTTCTTATATCTTCATCCCACCACCACGTCTCACCATGCCTACACTTTCCTTTCGTCCATCCACATACTTTATCTGCCGTAGCCAACACACAGTCCCTGTATCTCTCCCAAACATTTCCATCCTTACCACTCTCCCAATTTTCAGCCACCTCAAATGCCTTCCTCACCTCTGCATCCTGCAACTTCCATGTCTTTCTCTTTGCCACAAACTTATCCTTCTTCCTCCTCCCCATTTCTTTTGATGTCACATCCATACTATGCTGCAACATACCAGGTATCGCCTTCACATTCTTCACATACTTCCTATGTTTGGCCCTTACCAATATATAGTCTATCATCGATCTATGTTCCCCTGACCTATAAGTAATAAATCGCACTGGTTCCCTTGTGAACCCAGTATTCCCCACCACCATGCTATGTGCATCCGCCAACTCCAACACTCTACGCCCTTCCTCATTCCGTATACCATATCCCCATCCCCCATGTACACCTTCATATCCGTCTGCATCCGCCCCCACATGACCATTCAAATCACTCAACAACACCACAAACTCATTCAAC